CGCTAGAAGTTTAAAGAAATTGAATGTTTTGGCTTCGGAATTAGATCGGAAAGGATCTACAGTGATCTTCAGCCCGGAAATCTGGGGATCCCCTACAAATCTACAATCAACATAGAAAATCTACAATCTACCCGGATATAATAAAATAACATACGACGTTAGGGTGTTCAATAAACCAGTGTTGGCCGATGACCTAAGTCATAACTTTTTTTCTATATGACCTTGGTCATATAATCATGACTTTTGGTCATAGCCATATCGGTCATATTAAATGCCAACAAAAAAAACTTTTACTATTATTCTTACTATATTAAAAAAGGTCATAAGTCATATCAATCCTCGTTATGACCGAATGACCTATGACAGGCCATAAAGGTCATATAGGTCATTTAAGATCATAGGCCAACACTGCAAATTGATCAAAACTTAGTTAGGGTCATTAAGTTCAGATTTTTTAAAGGGTTATTTCACATATTAATTTATATATGAATTTGTACTAATTTAGGTACATTTTTTTACACAACTAACAAACAAAATTGTATTATATATATTTTTTAAACTGTGGCTCTAGACTAGCTCTACACTGAAATAGAACCGGTTTTTTTAATAACCGGTGTTAATTATTAATAAAAATTAAACCAAAATTTTGTTAAAAGTTATTAAAAAAACCGGTTCTGTTTTAGCGTAGAGCTAGTCTAGAGCTATAATTTTTTAAAAAAATATGATACAATTTTGTCTGTTAGTTGTGTAGAAAAATGTACCTAATTAGTGCAAATTCATATATAAATTCATATATTAAATAATCCTTTAAAAAAATCCGAACTTAATGACCCTAGCTATGTTTTAATCAATTAGTTTATTTGGACACCCTAATACGACGTCCTCTGATGAACACGTCAAGAGGCTTAAATAAAATAATAACAATGATGATGGTTCGCAAATTGATGTGCCTTTTATCAAATTTGTAGATTGCCGCACATCCAAATTTGCAGGTCAAAAAAAATGAAATCGATGGTTTCTGATGACGTATGTATATCAACTAATATTATATAAATATAAAGACCTATACATACATTTTTATTTATTACAGTATTTTGTATACATTTTTTTAAAAAAAATCTTTCTAATGGCCAAAAATTATTATCCTTTGATGCAACGTCTTTATGTACAACTTTAAATTACTGTAACTGTAAAAAAAGATATCTCCAACAAAAAAATTATACTAAAGTTCTTTATCTTTTACTTTGAAATTTCATGATTTTTTCAGTAATAAACAAATTAATTTTCTAGAATCATGTAATAATTCTTATAAGATTCAATTTTTAAATTTTCTTCTTGCTCATCACAATAATAAATTTTATCAGGCTAAAAAAGAAACAAAGTTTAATAATACACAATCAAATTCTTTACAACATGATGAATGTGCAAATTATATCCTACAAAAGATGCTAATCAAATATGTTATAAAATAATCTATTTCTGCAAAAAATATTTAAGAAATCAGGAATCAGAAATTAGAAATCGATTTTTTTTTTATTGATCTGCAAATTTCAAACCACAATAATATAAAAATCTGTCAACCATATCTATGCTCACTAAGAAATCATTGGTGATTGTATTAGTGTAGCATCTACAAATTTGATCAAAAGGTACATCAATTTGCAAACCGCTATGCGTAATAACTCAATTTCCAGCCATGAGTGAATATATGATAATTTCAATTATTGACAAAGATAATGATACGTTTGCTTCTAAAAGAAGCATGACTATGGAAAGTGTACAAATTGTAATCGATTTAAATAAACTGTGTCAGTCATGAGAACGTAATGCATTAAAAGTAATGAAGAGATACATTCTGATGGATCAGCAGAATTGGCTCTTTTAATCAGACTCTAAATTAATCATTTTAAGGGTAGCAATGATTATAACAAATTAAAAAATTATATGGATATCAGTTAATATATTAGAGAAAGACATATTTTATTTATAATTAATAAAATGAATACTGTTATTAAGTAAATTTAGGGTTCAAATTCAGAGCATCTTAATAAAGGTCCAATTCCAACAATCCACCAGAATAAAGTAAATGAGGATTTAGTACTGTGTTTTTTGCCAATTGACAAGATACTTCAAATAAGAATGAATACGTATGTCCACAATCTATTGGGGTGGCATTCAAGACTCTACCTGAATCAAAAAAAAAAAAAAAGAATTTCTGAAAGAAGTCAAACTATAAATTACTTGGTTATTTTTATTATAACATATATTATTATATCTTAAGCTTTGCGTAAAAAATTTTTAATTAGTTTAGAAACTATATGCATTGTGGATTAAGTGGTATCAGACTCGTGGTATACGGACTCACTCAGAATACAGAGACAAAAGAACTTATGATGGTATTTCAATAAAGGTGACCTTCATAAATATCTAAACATTGAATTTTGAAGAACTTATTTGGGAAAACAAAATTATCATTATTAATTCTGAGGGACCAACGTGAATTAAAACTAAGTTAATTGATATTTCAAAGAATTTAATTAAAAATTCATTAAGCAGGGCGCATTCACTGTGACATTTTCTGCGGTAATAACTATTGACCGATTCGTTAAAATTCTATATTGCAGATTGGGATTATTTCGAAAGACGTTTTAGAAAATGGAATTTATAGAGTTATGCTTTATATTATACCAAATATCAGTATATAGTTAGTTTTAGCGTTATTATGGAGAGATGACTACTGGAATACGCCCATTTTATGAGTGCTCATTTGATACTAAACTTGCATTAGAAATTTGTTGTGGAATGAGACCTGATTCTGCTTTAGGGGCTCCTAATTGCTATACTGAATTGACAAAGTTGCATGCATTCAGTTTCACAAAAACGGCCTGCTGTTGAAGCAATTCATAATAAGCTTTATAAATTATATAGTCTTTTGAAAGAATCTGATGAATTTATTGAATCTGATGAATTTGATAAATCTGATGAATTTGATGAATCTAATAAACTGTACGAATCTGATAAAGCTAGTGCATCCAATGAAAAATAAAGAATTACATAGTTTTCGGCCATTGAGCGGCACAAATATGGTATAAACATCTCAAAATGTATTATATATTAAGGATCAATGTTTAAGTAATGTTGAGATCAATTTTTTTGATTAATCACGGACATAACTTTAGTGTTTTCATATGCATTGTTATGAGAAATTGGCAGAGAAAAAAGTACGAAATGTTATTTTTATTAGAAATGTATCAAAAACGTAATTTCAATTATCAAAGTGCATAAATTCGTACGAGTCTCGCGTGCATGATACATCCGGATAATTCTAAAAAAGGTACTATTATTAAACCGGACATTTTTTTTTTTGCCCGAGCTTTTAATTCTGGCCAGAATTTAGAAGAGTTTAGGTCAAAAAAATAGAATTTTTGGCCAAAATATGTCCGGTTTTTAGTTAATAGTAATATTACTTTTTTTTAGAATTATCCGGGGTCCCATCTCGACACCTCATACGTAACACTAGGTATGCAAAGATGATAATAATGCTCAAATCTTCCCCAACTTCTAACTCTATTTCTGTTTTTTTTTTCATTTTCTTACTTTTGCCGCAGTTTAAATAGCAGATACGAATTTTTGGGCATTAAAAAAAAAAACGAACTCAACCAAAAATCACCCTACAAGTAAATCCTTTTCAGATTATGCATAATAACGATGAATATAAGCAATCGGATGCAGAAGTAGGTGATGACGAGTGCGATAACGGTGGTAAGTTTCTTTTTCTTTTCATCACTTCTAATTTTTAGAATGTGAAAGAGAATTCTTAAAATTACGAATTCGCTACCTTTAAATTGAGAGTTTATTTTTATTTCGCTTATATTATTTTTGCATTTACATTGCAAAGTCATATTATTTCATTATTCTACTTTCTCTTTGAACCACTTCATCTCGTTACCGACAAGTTGAAAAGTTAATTCTAAATATAAATCATCTATTAGTTATGATAGGAATATTAGTTATAGCTTCATGAATAATAATTTAATTCATTACATTAAATAGCTTGTCAATTAGTCAATTATATTAATTAACATCAAGAACACGACGCCATTCCTTAATTTCAGATGAGAAACATAATCTGTCTTCGTCGTCAAAAGTTGTGGCCTACACTCCAAATAAGATTGTTACCCCTGCAGATGCTGCCGCTGTGCTGGCCGCTTCACTGGCACCTCCATTCAAAGACAATTACATAAACTATGATTCTAGTAGGAGCAAAAGAGAGATTGAAAATGAGATTACAAAATTGGCTGCTCAATTGGAGGGTCTTAAAAAAAAGTTTGAGGAGCAAATCAGAGGCAAAAACAGGTTAATAGAGGAACTCGAGTATGCACTAAAGAAGAGAGAGAAAAATGATAAAAGTAAAGGTGGCGAGATTGAACGCTTGGAAAATCAGATCGAGGCTCAAAGAAAAGCAATAGATGCGCTGGTCGAACAGCAATCTTTAATTTCAAATCCATTTTCAAGACATCAAACTCTTAAAAAAGAATGGCTTGAAAAGACTATTTTTGATGGGCACATTAATTTTATTGAATATAAGAAGTTTACAGACCCTATTTTGATCGGTATTGGAGGCTTTGGTAAGGTTTTCAAATACACGTGGAGAGACAGTGAATTAACGGTTGCTCTTAAATGTCTTAGAGTCGATACAAGTATAGATGAACAAATAATTAAAGATTTCACTGATGAGGTATTATTTATTAAATTATTTCATTAAACTACAGAATAATCAATTCTTATAATTCTTATAATTAGCTTAAGCTATTATGGAAAATTTGTTACCATCCAAATATTATTATGTTCTACGGGGTTACGAAAGGTAAACATGTGATTTTTAGTTTTAGGGCATCAAATAATAATATTATTATTAAATGATAATATTTATTTTCTGATGACAAATAGATAGCAACGGATATTATAATATGATTTTGCAATATGCTAATGGAGGAACTCTACAAGAATATCTAAAAGAAAATTTTACAAGATTACAATGGTCAGATAAACTACATATTGCTAAGGAAATAGCACTTGGAGTCCTATTCTTACATGATAATAATATTATTCATAGAGATCTTGTATGTAATATATTTTTTGCTCGATTTTTATATTTATAAAATTATTTATACTTTAATTATTGATGCTTTAATCATTTAGCATTCAAGGAACGTTTTAATTCATCAGGGACAACCAAAGATAGCAGATTTTGGTCTATCAAGGCTGATAAATGAAATGTATAAGACCTCAATCTCAGTTGCACACGGAATGCCAGCATATATCGATCCTAAATGCTTTATCGATCCCAAATATGAACGTAGTAAGAAATCAGATGTCTATAGCCTTGGAGTAATTCTTTGGGAAATTTCGAGTGGAAGGCCGCCATTTGCCTCTTTTGAATTATTTTCGCTCGCCGTTCATATTTCCCAGGGAAACAGAGAAAAACCTATAGAAGGTACACCATCTCAATATATTGAACTTTACGAACAATGTTGGGATAATGATCCTGACAATCGCCCAGAAACAAGATTAATTCTCGATATAGTGAAGATATTGCTTAAATAATTTGCAAAGCAGAAAATTTTGAAGTTTACATATGTTTACATAACAAAAAATAATGTATTCTCATTCTTGTATAAATTAATTATTAAAACAGCTAATAAATAAATGCATTATTAACACAATTTGACACAATAGAACAATGCTCATAAAATCATGAAATGTCAATTTGTCAGGTTTGCATCTGCCATTTAATTATCTAATACGCATTTACAAGCTATTTTGAGCGAAAAAAATCACTTGAATTTTCACGGATCTAAAACGTTATATATAGTCTACTCTCTTGGTTATGATTATGGTCATGGTTATTGTTACGATTGTGATTATGCATCTGCTCTTGTTCCATAATAACTGAAAAGAAAACATACAAAACCAAAAAACAAAAGATTATGTTAACAAATATTAAGAAAATCTGTTTTCCTACTATAGATATGGAGTGCGATTCCTAGATTTTTCAATTTTTAATATTTGATAATCGAATGTTTCTAGCGATAGGAGTTTATATTGATCTACTAAGCAACGATAATTTAGTCGTTTGAATGGTTGTACAAAAATGTGATCAAAATGTTAAGGTTAATATATCAATGAGCAAGTTATGATCAAGAGTGTCATCACAGTTCAATTTCAAATTAACTGGATACGTAGCACATGATTTAACACAGTGATATAAATCACTGACTTTGATTAAGGATGTTTTCAAGTAGCACGCTCAATTAATTAGATAATGATCGTAATAGTGCTCAACTGTTATGTAAAATTTAATTAGATCTTCATTAAAAATCAGTAGAGCGTATAATGATGTAATTGACGTGTACTCACGTACCACGTTCAAGCGTTGCAATAATTGAAATATTGATTGCGATTGATGGTTGAGCAAATACTTTTATTATTGCTATCTTCTAATGCTTATTGTTACAATTAAAAAATCGTTTTTACAAAACTGTAATAAATAAAAAAAACCCCCGATGAACCAACAGAAAGATCAAAAACCTGTACCAGCGATTCCAGTTTCCACCTTTTTCCTACTTCACCAACCTCCATATGTTTTTACAACAAAACTATCCGACTCAACCTTTTCCGAATCCTTCAGCAGCAAATAACTAAAATGTTGAAGATGAAAAAGTAATAAATATAAATAATCTTAAATTTATATATAGCTTATATTAATATTAACATAATATTTTAGGCTTCGCTTTTAAAATCATCTGATAACGATTATAGCAAAGAAAATATATTTAAATCGGCATCTACTTCTAATTTGTCTAATGTTTCTAGCGTAGTAATGCTTCTAATAGTAAGTCCGTAAGCAGATGGACATCTTCAGAAATCTGATTCTCATTGAGGAAGTAGGAAAAACTCAAAAAGCATTACAGCAAGTAAGAGATCCAAGACATAAGGGACGGATTTGGGACAAAATTGGTTTGAATATACAAGGTTATACTACTGCAAGTACTGTTTTGAAGAAATGTTCTAAAATATCTATTCAACAAAAATGAGAGTCACTTCACCAAAAATATCGTAGCATTAAAGATACAATTAAGAACACAGGTGAAGAAGCAGTTCAAACTGAATGTGAGTTTTTTAATGATATAGAAGAGTTTTTAAAAATGATTCTAGTATTAGTGCGCAAGTAACAAGTGATTTGATTAGTGGAATAAAGCGCAAACAAAATGATCAAGAAGAAGAAGAAGTAAGTTTTTAATTTATTTTTATTATATGCAATATGCATAATTTATTTTTATTAGATATGTATATGTATAATTTATTTTTATTATGTATGTATATATATATATATAATTTATTTTTTATATTTATTTATAATTTTATAGATTCAATTTAAAAAAAGAAAAAATTTGCATAATTATGATAATGAAAAAAGTAATCTTGAAGAATTAAGAGTTCTAATTAAAGAACAAAATAAAACTATTTCTGAATTTATTAAGAATCAGCATATTTGGGTTACAAAAATATAGCAAAAACAACATACTGAACAAATGGATATCTTTAGACAATTTTTAATGAAATTCTAAAAACACTATTTTAATATTTTTTTTTTTTTGGTATTAAGGTGACCTCTTTGGTCTGGGGAACTTTTTATTAGAGTATAGACGAAGTTTTATATG